TGGAACATGTTTTGCGAAGTAGCCCACATTATCCTACCTGAGCAATTAGTCAGCCCATTTACACGCTGCCTTACGTGGCTATTACATCAATTTTTCTAGAACCTATTTTTGAGCTTCCTTCTTCATCACTTCTGATTAGGATCTTTCAAACGCCAAACAACATAGTGGATCAACCAGCAGATAGGCGAGGACACACTCCTTCAATCCACGGTTCACTCTATTCCGGATTTGGTTTTTTCGTTTGAAGATGACCCACACTCCAACTACCCCTCTACTGGCAATCTTGCTGCTTGGATCTGGACAAAGTAGTCACTATTTGTCAGAGCGTATCCGACTTGTTGAGATGATGGAATGTAGCGGGAGTTCTCACAGCAAAAGTCCTCTAAGTTCGACACTTCTGAAATGTTGGTGAAACACGAAAGGAACCCTGCGCTGGGAACCGCCGCCCAGTAATACTAGGGTCAGTGAAGAAGGCAAACGTGGACAGCACAGTGGCAACGTGTTCAATTTGAAAGCAAAGCAAGACAAAGTCGGCTTTTTTTCTGAGGTCGTTCGACCCACCTTGGGAGATTATTCATAAAAAGTTGGCGACTCTCAGGCTAACAGTTCTTTCAGCTTCGTTGTGTAGCACTATCCTCGTACCAGCTAAGGACAACCTTGTCTGAGCTCTAGCACTCTTCTTCAAAAAGAAATTTTACGCTAAGTGATACGACCTCAAACCCGACTTCCAGTCTTCTTCGTTCAAGACCTCCCGCAGTTTCAGAGGAAAGACAGCGACTAAATTCCCATGAATAGGCAATACATTGTAGATGACAGAGGTGTATGTTTGGATGAGCAAGGACTTCGAATAAAAAAGAAAAAAATTGAATTCAAAAATACCCAAAGTGATTCACTAATTATGGGACAACCCTTATATGTTGGGAATTGCCTACATCTCCAGCGGCGAAGTACAGCTGTGGGTCCTGTTCAAAGCGGGCGCAGAGGCGGGGAAAAGTGGGTAAAGGTTGGCGAAAGAAAGGAGATTGGTGAGTGGCACCGAGGTGGGCGGAGTTTGCCAAGAAGCACTATAAAAATACCGATGGCCTGTTTCATACCATTGCATCGGAAGTCAGCAGGATAAAAAGCCCTAGTTTCTTTGGCCCACGCTTTCGCCCCACAAAACGCCACGTAGTTGATCTTTGTGGACGGCTTTATATATTGGAAATTGCTCATGCCAACTTAATCGTATAATGTGCCTTCACGGATGATAATGGGAACTCTGCTGTCCTATTTGTTCCCGACATTTCTTTTTGTTAGAGTGCTCTTCAAAACCTCTCTTTGTTTCCAGAAAAGACCTAGCAGTTATTTGTGGCTCATGCGACGCACACATACATCGACATTGTTGGTTAAAGTGAGTATTTTTGGTGCTTCTGTAGATTTTCATCTGAACAAACTACGTTTCCTTGAATGATTCACTTGGCTAGATTCCAGAAAATGCTTCAAGGTGACGGCATTAAGCAGTTTTGAAAGCCTTTTTTGTCTGGTAGCATATCATCGCCTGCACATCTTCGGCGATGATTCCCCATGCCGTCATATCTAGCGGGGGCAGGCTCACATTCATACGACAACACCAGCACTTACTTTACGTTCACGCAATAAAGACTTTAGTAGCTCTATCTCACTTACTCTCTCTCTCTCTCTCTCTCTCTGTTGCTCATTCTCTGCCTCAACAATATCATACCACTAAATCACCGCGAGGTACATCATAAGGGGTTAAATAAAACCGTAAGTCTCAGCTTCACCACAGGCATGAAGTTCTAGGGAGAAAGGACTCGTTAACGCACACAAACCAGAAAGCGGGTTGCATTTATGTATAAATTTTGCGCTCACAAATATTCGACTATATTGGTCGGCACTGCCATACACAGGCTCTTTTTAATATCGCCCCTGAAGCTAGACTTGTTCCAACCCCCCTTTGCGTTCCTTTCTTAGAGCTGTTTTGACAGTCGTGAACAGGCGAGGGAGCTTCTGCTTATGTTTGTTGAAGCAAAAGCAATAGACTTTATCAACTCAATCCCTCCTTGGAATTCCTCTGATCCAGACTTCTCTTACAGTGTAGCTTATCGCGTACGATTCAAGCCCAGAATCCGAGAAATGAGACCGCTTCTTCGCCCGTCGATTTTCGTATTGATGCCGACACATACCTCGCTGACCCTCTGGTCTCATCTGTTAAATGGCTACAGTCTCACGGCGAGAGGGTGGAGGGGTACAGAAGGAGGCAGTGGCGCGTGTATGGCTCTGCTAGGCCGCTGGAGGCATACAATTCGCTGCGGAACGTGCGCCATTCCGCACCTTTGGGGCCTTCCCATTATACGGTTTTGCCCTTCTTATCTTAAGCCTTCTCGAAGAGTCGTCCTTAAATGACTTCACTGGAGCTAAGCCTGTCCAATTTAAATCCATATGCTATGATCTTCCGTTCTTAGTACTCGCCACAAGCAAAAGAAAAATAATCGTTATACATTTTTTAACTCTTTATTTGACTGCAGTCGTATTTAGATACGCAGCTAGTTCCGAAGCTGACGACATATCGTGTCCTAGAAGAGGATCTGGAGGGTGTGATCAAATGTTTTCAAAGAGTGATGTAACGACAGGATTCAATTGAAAGTCGTCATGGTTCCAATATGCGAATGATCCATTGCTAGGAGCTCTCAACCTCATTCCTTACTGCCAGCGATGCCATTTACCTCGAATAGCTCTCGAAGCTTGTTTTGGAATTAGGTGCTATTTCTGAATAAACTGAAGCTTCAGTGATTTGGTTTACCCTACCTGAAACCATGGTTCAACCACTGCTATCGTTTTTTTTTTTACCAAAGGCTACGAAACTATATTGCATTACACGAGGCACCATTGGGCGCATATCCTTTGACACCCACAAATTACAAGTTGTGGTATGTTGGAATTATCGCCTAGAGCATCTCCATTCCACGGACAAGCATGCCAATCTTTCGCGCACAAAGCCAGATCTCATCTTCGAGTGCACATTAGTCGGGCAGTAATGGACAATAATGAATACGACTAATGATACCTTGAGCATGAGTATGGCCTCGTCTAACCACCTGGTTGGTTGCTTGAGCCTCGCTACCGAGCGCTCGACCAGCTGTGGAACGATGCTTGAGAACTGTTTTTAGCGGAATGTTGTAGTACATCCTGTGATTGGTTAATGTTACTGTAGGAAAGATTTTAGTATTGGAATGTTTTCACCAGGAAGCGGGTTACATTTATGTATCAAGTGAGTATACTGAATTACTGACTTGGGCTCTGTTTTCCATGCGTAAGAGGGCTACGCGTACTGAGGAGAGCCACTACAGGAAAGGCATTCAGCTTCCATGGAACTTTGAAATGAGACCCATATATTTCGATAGAGCTTCGAACATTGACTACAAATATGAAAACTAAAACTGCAAAATGAACTCTCCAAGTAAGTTGTGAGCAGTCAAAGTTGGCTGGAAATAAAGCGTTTCATATGAATCGTGGTACCGTCCGGGCATTCAAAGTCGCCATGGAGTAGTGGTAGTGCTCTCGAAAGTTGCACTTCAACGGAAAGAGAATGCACGACCTCCCGGCTGGAGAGCGAGAGCACTACCACTACTCCACTGCGACTCTGAAAGCCCGGAAGCTAGCACGGTTCATATGTAATGCTTTACTTCCAGCCAACTTTGACTGCTCACAACTTCCTTGGCAGGTTCATTTTGCAGTTTTAGTTTCCATATTTGTAATCAGCGTTTGAAGCTCTATCGATATATCTGGGTCTCGATTCAAAGTTCCATGGGAAGTTGAATGCCTTTCCTGGTTAGTAGCGCAGGTGACTGATCATCTCAATTAGCAGTTTGTGAACGATTTATCTAAAGAGTAACGAATTCGACGTTGATGGATCCTTTTTGTTATGCGCCACGCATTCTCACCCCATTCAGAAGTCTAGTGGGATTTTGAATGGGATTTGGCCTGTAGAATGCCTGGTAGAGGACGCACAAGTCAGTTCTTCTATCCTCAGAGACAATGCTGCGGCCAGTTCATCCATCCTGGAGGTATGGGGAATTAAGGTTGGCCTGCGCGTTATGCACGCTAATTGCCGCTAGGTCGCTTCCGCCTTCGTGGATTTTATTCATACCCTTCCACTTTTCGAAAAAGATTACTCACCGTTCCTCAACTGCTTCACTGTTTTTAGCGGAGGCCAGGTTTGGGTGGGGACTATATTTTAGCAGGTGGCATCAATTTAACACTGGATACTACTCTGCTAGAGGTCGTTTCAAAGTACCCTATTTTCATCGAAAACATCAGCTAAGGAGGTCACAGCTGTGTTCTGACTACAAATTGCAGCGAACTAACTCAGAACGTCTAGCAACTGGAATTAGTTGTAAACTAGTAAGTGTAAATAATTGGTTTTCCCAAGCAGATTGGTGAACTTTTTCGCAAAACGATACGTGCAATGTCCCACACTGATGAACAAGAGCCAGCCAGTATCATTGCACGTGCAATAGCAGATATCGCCATTATTGGCTCGCAACGACATCGCGAGCTTGTGTCTGGAGACCAGCGGTAATGTTGGCTTTTCTATTGTTACCTTGTCAAGATATTAATCAGCGGTTATTTCAGGGACAAGGAATATGTCCGAATTTGCTGCTCGTCTGGAACAGTCACTAAGTCGATTTTTACTCCATGACGATAATAAAGGGACACGGTCAGTCTGGCTTCATCTTTGAGTAAATTATGAGGAGTAGGCTAGCCCGTGCAATAGAGTAGGCTAGTGCAGACAAACGGCACACAGCAGTGGTCAAAAGTTTGAAAACCTTTTTGTTTTCGACCTCACGCGGCAACAAAATAAAGCATTGCTTCGAATCCACAAACTATATTCGGAATCATACATAGCACGGTATGCAACACAATTTCCCAGAATCGAAAGTCACAATTGAAAAATACGATTTTTTTCTTTATTTGGCACTTCGAGAGGTTGAAAATCCAAATTCCGTACATCTCGAGCATACATAATAATTTGGTAATTTTTTGAGTAGTCTATATTCCTACGGTGACTCTTTCATTGACATCAAATTGATTAGAACACCATTTTTGGACCCTTGACATCTTACGAACTAAATAAAATTGTTCGGTGGAAATCTTTACTGAATTGGAGAAGGAATGCGTATTGTGCAATACAAGTCAGTCCAGATCTTGACTTGGTAGACATAACAGCATTTTTCTGGGTTTAGGAAGGCGGCAATGGGAAGGAAGTTTTGCATCGGATCGTGGTCGTGGTAGGTCAAGATGGTAGCCTTACGCCGAGAACTCTCATATTCCGCACTGAACTGCTAAGATAGAACTTCTTTCTGTATCGCGGACCATATGGGTTAGACAAATCTCCTCTATAGAGCTTTTCCTGCGTGAGTTTGTTTAAAAATTCAATAACACCTGATAAATAAACTAAAATTATCAAAGACATGCCAGCCTTGAAGGAATGTTACAGTGATGCAGAAACCGAAATTTCCAAATTTTGACGCGCCAATTCCTTGAAAGGGATCATTTTCTCCAATTATTATTTTCGTCTTAGGGAAATTATGTTGCACATCGTACCACGCTTTTTGTAGATAATAATGGATATGAGACAATTTTGTTGATTGCTAACCGCGCTAGAAAAGTTCCCAAGTTTTCGACCAGTCTTAGGGTTCTATTCCGAAAAGAGGGGTGTTGCAGCACAACATTCTGCCGATCGCTGATCAGGGCTTACCTTTTGCAGCGGCAAGATTTTCGCGTAGCCCTCTTCCGTACGAGGCGTCTTTTATGATATAACTTCTGATATTTTAAATTCAAGGTTGCATAGAACCGGGTCGAGGCACACGAGGCATGTCACTTTTTCTCGTACGTCTTTAAAATGCGCAGAAAGCTTGGAGATTGCGTGAAGCAACAGAATACGTCTCTGTGAGTGTTTTTAAAATCTTTGTTTGGAACTCTACCCTACAAAAAATTTCATTGTGGCACGTCCATGTCTCGAAGTCTGATTAGGCGTGGCTAAGCAGATTTGACGTGGCGGCCGCCGCATTTGATAGAAGCTGCGCGGATAAGTTCCCTCAGCATGCTCTGCTATATCCAGCGGGCTATGTTAGAAACAACTTATCCACACGGCTTCTGTCAAGTGTTGGTCAAATCCATGGACACTCCTAATCAGACTTCGAGATGTATAGACTGTACGAGGCCTTGGTTTTCGGATAAAAATACAGCAAAAGCTCTACGATGAAAATTCCACAAGGCGGGAAGTGTTGGAAAATGCTGGTTTTGAAAAGGCAAATGCCCTGTTTGACAACTTCCTGTCCACTGTTGCCTTACTTAGGCGATTGGATGTGTTGTTGATGGTTCGCTTGGACAGAAAGCAATTTTTCCATCTATCGCAGCGCGAAACATTCCGCTGCAGAACCTCAGGTACAGCGGTGATCACGAGTGGACCTGGGATTTCTGGAACGAAAAAAGTTTCTCGCTGCGAAAAACGAAAAAGTCGCTTTCCATCCGAACGGACCACACCCAGTGATTTTTCATGAAACATCAAAGCAAACAGTCTCCAAAAGACGCAAAAAATCTGCTGTTTTAGATGAATGCTGGCGACTTTTCGCTCGGCGGAGGAAATGCACTTGAAGGGGAGCTCGTCGCGAGTTGCCACACCAGGTATAATTGTTAATTAGTACCAAGCAGACGAGCATTTTTTTTTCAAATTTACCTGTATGGATATCTACATTTTGAAGGTGCCTGCCTCCTTGACTGTTCCAATGGTGATCTGTTGCAGACCAGGGCCTCTAGAAGTGCAATTTTTGCTTGTTAATACCTCTAAGTTAAAGTGGCTCTGGAGTGGGCGAAAAGAGAGCTAAAAGTAATCATTCGACGAAGGTCAATGTTTTGCGCTATTAAAGACCAGTATTCTTTCGCATTGGTCATAACGGCAAACGAACTGGAAAAAGAGGCGAAATTAGTAAATAGATGTTTATTAGTTGCTCTATAAGTGGGACTCATATTGCTAATGTTCTACTGTTAAGGAAGAGTTATTCGACACTCCACCAAGCAGCTTGATCGTTGATGTGTCTGGTTTCTCTCCAGAAGCAGACTCTTTGCCTTCGACGATAGATCCGACTACTGTTGGTTTTCTAAATTGTGCTCATCCTGAGCAGAGGTTGAGAAAACTGATGTTTCAAGGATTCATGTTCATCGTTCTTGTCGAGTGATTTCTCTGATGATGAGTTTTCTGGAGAAGAGTGTCGAGTGCCACCGCTTGTTCGAAGGTTTTCAAATAGTTTGAAAGTGAACGGTCAGCTTAATGAACTTGGATCAGCTGCAGAGAAATGCTCTTCTGCTACGAGTCTGGTAAGTTCCGATTCTGTTTTATTCCGTATTCGATTTGGAGTCAGAACCTACTTCTTCTAATTTGAGGGATCTTCCCCATATGCCTCTTCTTTCGCGCAGTTCGTATTTGAAGGCAAATTCCGCGATTACCTGTAGATAGGGAACCCTTCTGTGAGGAAGCATCCAGGTGCACAATCACAATGGTTGCCCTTATTTAGCGCCTTGGTGTTGTAAGCCAAGACTGCTTGGGTTCAATATTGCTCCCGTCATTTCGTCTGAGAATAGACATCAGAGTGATGTGTGAGCCTCACTCACAAAATGCTTTGTGTCCTTTCAGGTGTCTGCTCAGGTCCTGGTACCCATGTTTCTTTGTTTTAAACCTGTACAAGTGCTCAATATGAATCATGTAGTAAGGATTATTGAGTACATCCGCGGAGGTACTTTCGAGTCCTAATTAGTGAAGGCTCATTAGCAGCAGCAGCCTTATTCTGAATGCTATATCTCAAATCTTACATCCCTAGCGCTCTCTAAGTCTGGTTTGCATAAGTACATAGTGAGGGTACAGCTGGCTGCCATTTAATTCAAACAGCTGGCTGCAATTCTCGAAGTGGCCTTTGATTGCGTATTTAGACAACAAACTTGCTTTAGAGATTGAACCCATGTACGTTCTTCTACCTGTGAGTAATTCCAATATTGAAGTCGCTGCAAATGTTTATTAGTGATTAACGTGAAGAGCCACCCTCTTTGAAATACCTTTACACCACCTACCAACTCTCAATAAGTCCAGAATCTTTCCAGCCCCCACAATACGAGGAAATCGACGAGTTCTCTGAATAGTCTTTCGCTCTAGATTTCATACAGTTTTTTTTTCGAGCGACTACTCTGAAATGTGATTACGGCTATGTTTATTACTTCACTGTTTTTCTTGATTGTGTTGTTTTTCATAGATGAGATAGTTGTTTGCTATGACATTCTGAGAAACAGGTGGCAGTATGTTTTCAACAGATGAATAATCTTCATAACTTTCTCAATCGATTTCATTATTGCCAAGCGCATTCCGTAACTCTGATGGACCACGACCTTTCAATCCGATTACAATCGCGTCCACTGTTCTTATCATTGGTTTAACTAGGTAGAGTACACTACGGTTATGTGTGCAGCTTCAATGGTTTGCAAGAAGGCATTTTGCTTATCGTTCCACGTCTTTTTCAGTTTTGTATATTGACCGTGTGAAAGTCCGTGTACTATCTATTGAAATTTTCCAACAGCTTTCTTTTGCTTGCTCGCAGAACAATGTGCTCCCACTTTTTTTCTGTACGTCCACTTGTATTATTTGAAGCGTAAGATTGTTTGAACATTTGTTTGTCCAGCAGGTGGCTTTAACAACTGTAAACCTTGCAAGATCCAGTTTTCCCTGCGCTGATTGTTCGTTACGGTGTAGTTTGTCGAAGGCATAACTAGAAATGAATCGATTGTTCACACTGTCTATTGGAAAGTAGTGCTAGTTATTGATATTCGTTGTGTAATCATCAAATACTGTCTATGAATCGTTCTACTTTCCTATCAAGTATTGGCAAGCATTTTGGGATCAAAAACATTTTTTTTGGAGTTCACAGTTCAACTAAAATTGCAGCATTCGGTGGTTGCGATCCTCTTTGGAAAGGCTTGGTTATAAGTCCTGAATATTGTTTTTCACATCAGAGATCATAGTAAGTGTTTGTGGATTTCCGGAATGACTTGAAGAGCTTTTCCTTGCTGGCAGGAACACCCTGCACTGTGTCTGGGATTATTCGGTTGTGATTCTGTAGATGTATTTGACTGCAGTTGGCATAATTCAACACAGTACGAGTAAGCATTTGTAAAAGGATAAGATCTATGTCACTGAGGGGGATTTTGCTGATAGCCCGTGCATGTGACGGAACTTCATTTCGGAGGGGAAAAAGAGCTCTGGCGTTTTGCGAAAAGAACTGAAATGGGTATTAATTTTAAGGAACATAACAGTGAAAAAAATGCCTGTTGGGATTTTGCTCTTGCATTTGATATTTTGACCAAAATGCTTCTTTGTGACGTAGACCAAAGGCCTTCTGTCTTTCTTTGAAAAGAAAGAAGTCCTGTGTACAATGTCAAGCTTGCTTTGTTTCCCGCGGCCAAGCATGTTGTAATTGCAGGCTTAGGAAACACTTGGCATCAAGTGCATCGAGAAGGACACGTAAAATCGCTTTTTCTGATGCCATGTCCGCGTATGCCGCGTGTCTGCATTTACGACATGCCCGCCCACGGGAATCAAATTAACGTTGTTCCCACCTCGATTGTGCTGTTTAATTTTCTGTGCACACATTTTTCTTTAGCTGATCCTTTTCAAGGAAAATTACTTGCTCAAGTGATGTCATCCGTTAATGGTACTTTGCACGCGGCAGGTGACAGGTCTGTCTCGACTATTGCTTCCACACTGGGAAGAGTTCTCGCCATTGCTGGGTGCACCAACTCGGGGAAGACAACTATCGCTAACCTTCTAACTGATAAGGTGAGGAGATCTTGATGTCAGTTCGCTTCACAAAAATTACGCGAAGTTTTAGCTTACTGAAGATGGCGCATCGGTCCATGTTATTCATCAAGACGAGTTTTTCTACCCCGAAGACAAGGTATTTCTCGATTGATGCTTTCATAGGGATTTTCAAAGCTTCTCTAATCATTCAATTATGTTGGGCGCAACACATGGAGTCTATGTCACGGAAGGGACATTTAGTGCAAGTGCAAGTGTGTCTCCCACAGAAATCCCAATTTCTATAGGGGAAGAAGCTTCTAGGTGCGGAACCATTTCAATAACACGCACCTAGGAGCCCGTAGCAGTAATTTGGATTATTGTAGATGGCACAAATTTTTTTCAACAAACACCCTCTCCTCCTCTTAGTGACATACTTACTGCATGTATTCTTCAGGTTGAGAAGATTCACCGAAAAAGTGGCAGTCAGCCGAGTTTCTTCTATAACTACGATGCCGTGTCTGCTGTAGATCATGAAAATCTTCTCAGCAGCATTAAAGCGGTAGGTGTGGTCATTCAAGATCTACGGGTATGCGAATGGTAAGTTACTATAAAAAAGAAGTACAGCTCCGGAATGAGCTACGCGTCCTATACGTAAGGCAGCGTCCTAGACAAGGCTAGAATCTGGGTCCCATTTTTGCCGAAGAGGGCCCTTATTTATCACAACATGAAGACCACGTGCTGCTCTTCTGTGGCTTAAGTAGTTCAATTTGCCCAGCCAGCACAGCTTAAAGTTCCAGTTCCAGCTGGGACAGTGCGATTTCCTGAACAAGTTTCCAGTTTCTCCGGGTTATTCGTTGGGTAAAGCTGAATCTCGTGACAAATAGACAACCAAACATAGCGCTCAAAGACATTGCCCACGATAATTTGGTCGTTCTCATTTAGTGGATGCCTAGTAAGATTAGAATTATCACAATCAGAAAATGGTGAGGGTTTTCGCAGCGAAAGACGCACTCAATAATGTTCAACTAGGCTCTATGCACCCCTGCCACCCTCACGCTTCGCTCCGCTTCGATGTGGCAGCTACAGTCGCTGTCTCTTGTTCTGAGCCCCTAAGCTCATGTGACCTAGAAGCGGTGCAGGGCGTTCAAGTTAACGGCACGTTCTCTGAATGAGTTCTCAAACCCGTAAAGTCACAATGACGAATATATAGGGTGAGTTTTATCATGAGATGAAATAAAATATTCGGAAGAAGTGCGAATAAATTCTAAGCGAAACTAAGCAGCTTCTTCCTTCTCTTCAGGCTTCACTTGCTTATGACTATACTGTGGTTGAGGGCAATATGTTAACGGAGTGGGTCGAACTCATTTCGCTGTGTGATCGTGTAATGTTCCTCACGCTGGATCAGGTAAGTCCACTTTGTCTTCTGGCCCCGTGTTTGTCGTAGGTGCGGACGTAAGCAAACCAGCCCTTTTGGCGCTTCGGCTGGGACCGTATGCTGAATGTTGGGGAGGGGATGGAGTCCCCGACGGTGGACGGACCACTTCAACTCGGTCCTTAGAACCGCCACAATTTGGTGCTTACCTCAGAACTAAGCCTAAAGAGAGGACGGGTCCGTCCCCTCTCCAAGGCTTAGTCCTGGGGTGAGCAAACCAGCCCTTCTGGCGGAGCTGCACCATTGACCGTCGGTATTCTCGTATAGCAGGAGGATGAGTAACGTCAAGGTTGGGGTCCCCATCCCCTCCCCAACATTCAGCATACGGTCCCAGCCGAAACGCCAAAAGGGCTGGTTAGCTTACCTCGTAGGTGCGGGCTTTGTAACAGAAGTGTTCACAGAGCATTAATAATTCTTCTATTTTATAAAGCGGACAAGTCGTGGTTGTGTCGGTTTGCATGTCTGTTTGTTTGTGTGCCCGTCCGAAAAATGAAAACGAGTGAGTGGTTGGTTGATAGGATGGAAATAAACAAGCCGATAACAGAAAACGGGAAGCTCGCAGGCCTCGCGCTATCAATGTTTTGCTAGAGCATGATTGTGATAACCCAGAACGGCTATATAAACACCTACTGGGCACACTCGGTCATTCCACAAGGTGCTGCAGTGGCAGCGGAGAGCAGTGGAGGGAGGAGGGGAAGATGAGGAATGGGGAGAAGGAATGCCAGGGTTCGCAGGGAAGGGAATTTCCGGCGGTTGCCGGGGGACCAATCTGATAGTATCAAATAGCTGTTGCGATATTACTTTTGAGGCCATCTCCACATGTGATACTGACAGTGAGACTGCAGTTACACGGCCACGACCGTGGGGAACGATATATACATGTCTAGTTCTTCACTTACCTTTTCTGGGTCATAGGGCTCATGTCAACCAACGCATGAGAGTCCAGACAGGATACAGGCAGCACATGCTTTGTGCTCATCTAAGACTAGGCCTTTCAAAGGAAGAAAAGAAAGCAGGGGTACTGTAATAGCTTGCATGTGCGAGAATGATCAAGCGACACAGCAAGATACCAAACCTTGTGATTGAGAAATGCCCTGGGACGTTTTTTTTTCTGTAGTCAACATTTTTATAGGAAACGTGCCGTCGTCGGCGTAGGAGACGCAGTTATGACCCCCCAGACATGCCGGGTTATTTCGATGAAGTCGTATGGCCATCGTATCAACGACATCTGCAGAGAGCTCTACTGTTTGCTAGGAAAAGTTGCCGAATTTCGTTTTATGACGTCACCACGGATTCGGACCGTCCTGATCCAGAATTTATGACTTCGGCAAGTATTTCTCTAACAGGTTACTTCCTATCTGTTATGCTGTTTAGAAAGTTTTCCGTCCCGGTTCCTATGATTCTTTGAGAACGGATTAGGTCTTTGGATCCCCTTTCCTGTAGAAAATCCGGCATTAGTTTACTTCAAGCCTATGTACAAACATAAATTCTGTTCCCCAGAAGGATAGGAGTTGGGTTTCAAAGTAGTCCTCTCAAGATCATTCAAACTGGAACTTCGCTAGGACTTTTTTCGTTCATTAAGCGCTGGAGGTGGTTTGAGAGCCTGTACTCGCACAGGTCGGGGATAGGATTTCAGAGTCCCACTTATTTCCAGCCAAGCTCGCAGACCGCCCATAATCATCAATCTCCACAAAGTCCTCATAGAGCAGAACGGGACAGCCTGAGTTTCAGTGGCTGGTTGGATCAAACAATATCGGTCCAAGCACCGACGAACGGGTCGTATTTGGCCCACGGGGGAGACGTAAGCGCGATGTCCAACTACGGCTATACCGGAAGAGAAGCCGAATTCTTCGCCCAATAAAGTTTACCAACTTCTCAGAGGCTTCAACATTCAAAAAGAAGATACTCACTATGCCAAGAGTGAAACGAAGTCGAACTTGAAATGCATCTGCTAATTAGAAGCACGGCGCATACCATGGCAGGGATTGTTAATGCAAAGCGCTTTGAGTTAAACTTGTCAGTAGCAAAAAACTGTTTAAAGGGAATGAGATGTATCTGGAGTGAATTGAAATGCAGGAAATTGCAATAGTCTGCAAGGATGGAATCCTTCAGGAGAACAAAAATTTCTTTCAAAGGAATCATTTTTGTTTTTGCAGGATTCTCACTACCGCTTGGATAATTTTTGAAAGCACGTATGCCT